TAGGCGTCCCACTTTTGGTCAATCAATGTAAGGGTACACTTTAGTTGTGTTCACTTCTATCTCCTTTGTTTTCTTTTTCAAGAAAGAAACTCTCGCCTTTTTTTAGAGTGAAAATGAAATTCAATAAGATATGTTTCGCAGCTATCTGACTTTTATCGAGGCCCAATCAATGAGCCCTTCAGCAGCGCTCTGCTTTCCTTTTTTGTTGACAATTGATCACATTTGAGCATGCAACTATTCTTTGGGGCGAAGTCAGCTGCTTAACCTTACCAATATAGGTGACGGTAGGTGTGACTAAAAACGAATCTCATCTCCATAACTCAATTCCACATCCTGACATTCCATTCCAACATGTGACTCGCTGTCCTAAAAGCTATTGTTTTTATGCTGGGTCAGAAACATAGTCCAGGAAGACTAATTGAGAATGGGCCCATGGACCAAGCCGGGAGGGAAAACCAATCTCAGAAAAGAAGGGAAATCCGGATGAAAGCTAGCGCCTTTGATCTGACTAAGGGCGGATGGTTCCGTTTCATCACGAGTTCGAGAGTTGCCTTCTATACAGTTTCAGTGATAAGGGTTTCCTATCCAAATTCCCTTGCGAGCTAAGGATTTCCCGCTCTAATAATCTCCAGGCCAGTCCTCTTTACAGCTGTCTATTAGTAAGCAAATCAAAGGCAAGAGTTTTCTGATTCAAGAATCAAAGGAATGTTAGCTGGCTAAGGAGATGGAAAAGGAAGGAATGCTGTGAAAATCTTCAAAGAGTTTTTTTGTGAACTGCATCGCATCTTATAGAACTAGCTAAGGTGCTCCCTATGCTTTTGCTTCTCTCGCGGGCGAACCTGCACCCTTTCATTGAACAAGAAAAAAAGTTCCTATCTTTCCATGGTTTTTTTCTTTTTCAGATTCTTTTTAGAAAAAAAAAAAAAAAAAAAAAAAGGGCGTAGGGCCAGGCTTCTACAAAAAGCAGGCTCTTTATCTTGGTTTTAGACGTTCTATTGATCGAAGGCTTGTGTTGTGCCATCAGCATAAAAGCCAACAACAGTAGAAGGGGTGGGTGGAGGCATCATAAGTGACAAGGGGCAGGCAGATCCGAGATAGCTGGCAGAGAACCAGCAGGTGATTTGATTCAGTACTCCCATTCGTCTAAAAGGTGAATCAGGAGCTCGTACAGGTCACTCGTACGCCGGTAAGAAGAATTGGAAACATCGCACACATTTTTCATGAAAGCTTTCTTCCGACATACCTCGCATACGATAAGCATCCGAGCCGGAGCAACAAAGAGGGTAGCGGTAAGATCAATGTATAGTATGGCATCAGTGTTATCTCTTGCTCTTGCCAACTTCCGTCTCAAGCAGGGAAAGAGCTACGGATATAGATTTCTTAGGAATAAGTAGTTCCTTTTTTAGCGCCGGAGCAGAGCTTCGCTTTGTCACTATTTTCAGAGTAACTGGCGGAATAATTAGTTGAGTCTGAACGAACCGGAACAACCGAAATCAGACCTGTTGATGTGCCGTCCTCATGTAGTGGTGTCCGTGGTTGCGGTATGATCGGCTGTACCTAAGCATGCGTGAATCTTTGAAGTCTGTACTGTATTTACGACTCTGCTTGCTTCTGACTCCCTATGAGCCGTTTTACGACCTGGAGGAGGGTCGGCGGTACATGGGAGCCTCAGCTCATGCATCGGTTTACCGAAAGAACCTCCGCTATCCCAATTCAAAAAGGCAAGCAGCCTTGAAACAAAAAGGCCAAATGAGGGCTCTTCTTTCTATATAGATTCTAGAAGCCCTAAAGTCAAGTAGGTAGCCCCGAAAGCCGAACTTGTTAGGAGTAGGTTTTGGAGAAAGATAGGTAAGTGGTAAGCCGCAAAGGAATTCTTTTTTCTATGGATTCTGGAGAGAGGAAAAAAGAAAATGTTTCATATAAGGAGAGCCGGCTTTAAGCAAGGCTATAGTGCGTTCCCAAGCGGGCAAGGGTAGAGAGTTTTTATAGAGAAGGCGCGGAGCGAAGCAGTCCTATATTGCATGTAGGAAGGGAGATGGGTGGTTCGGGGCATACTTCGATCAATGTTTTGGAACAATCCGAAAAAATGTAATTGACACTACGTGCCTCGTTAGGCAAATACGATGCAAGACCTGTCACATCAAGGTCAAGACGAAATCTACTCTTCATTTTTTATCGAACTACTTCAATAACACGGCTCTCCTGTAAGTGTAAGGTGCCGGTTTCAATGCAATTTCCGTTCCGGAAAAGACCCATATGCCCACAGATCAACGAACCGGAGGGAGCAAACCACCATAGCTGATATGTCATTTTCTTTCTGTTCTGAAAAAGAAAAAAACTAGTGCCTTTTTTCTTTGAGAAAGCTTCCTCGCGACTTGGGATACGTGCAAGGAGAGCCAGCGCAAGACAAGCGAAGATAAATTCCATTTTTCTGAAGAAAAGCTTTTTTTATTACCACTGACTCTTGGGCCGATCTGCCAGATGGGTTCTCTCTTGTCGTGTCCGGGGAGGACCCGCATAAACAAACGAAAGAGATAGACAAAAGTACATTGCCACTTTCAGTTTTCCAGAGTGAAAACAAACGTCGGGAGCCTAAGCTTTGTCTCAGACCCCGTTGTAGGAAAACTTATTTGGTGGCGTGATGTGATCCTCATATAAAGAACTCAAATCTCACCCTTCAATTGAATCATCCACGTAGCATTCTACAACATCTCTCTTCATATTTGCGTCATATACTGTACTTTTTCCTGGCATTTTTGAACCGGAGAGAGAAGCAATGTCAATTCCGTTCGGAATAGGCAAAGATGTACAGGGTGGAACCTTCTCTGTGCTTCTTGGATCGGCTTTGCATCTTCATTGGAAGCTCCGGCATCTCTGCATAGCGGAATGCAAAGACATCACGGAACTCTTGGATAGGTTAGTCCATCACTTCTTAAGGAGTAAGGTGGGCATTGATTGGAGACTGTCTGTCTCTCTTGCTAGCTAGAAGGCGAGGATAAAAAAAGATGGGACTCCCTTTCTTTTCTCTTTCTTCCAGATAAAAAGAAAAGACCAAGCAAATCGTAAAATCTAGCGCCTTTTTTTTGAGACAAAGAAGCTTATTCAAGAGAAAGCGAAGGGGAGGAATCACGCCCAGGAGTGAATCGGATTGAAAGCCATTTTGTTTCATCAAACTGCTACTTCAGTTAGGTCACCAAGCACTTTTTTTTTGAGACTGAGTGGAGATTCCGACGGGAAGAAGTTTCAAACCCCTACTCCGGAAAGATCAGCATTCGCTTTAGCCAAAGCCGAGACCAGGATAGAGAGATTTTAGATGGGCCTTGTGAGGAAAAGATTGAGATAGGAATAGGACTCGCCATAACCCGATGTTAGAGTCAAGCATTCCCCAGAAAGAAAATAAGGAAAACCAGTCAGGCTATCGGGAGTTGGATTCGGGTTCACAACTCAAGCAATCTGCCTTTCTCTGTGTTGAAAAAGCACGGGAAGCAGAGGCGCCAATGGGTCACTTCACTCTAAGGATTTGCTGCTTTCTTAGTATTCTAACGGATGAGAAAACACAAATTCTCCCCTACCTACTTTTGGAACTCCGGTTTGCTGCTTTTCAAGTTCGAAATGAAAGTTCCCCGATTTCGTTAGAATCTAGTTGTTGTGATTGAGATTGATGAAAGTAGAAGTGATTGCTGGATTTCCTGAAATGGTGGGACAGGGCGAAGAGAGGCCAAGAGGAATAAAACCCCAAAGGTTGACCCGCCCGCCATAAAACAAACCGACCTCTTCTTACTAACATGGGGAAGATTTACGGTCAAAGTCTGAAAAATTGAGGCGGATTGAACCATTGCTTAGGCCAATGAAGGCCCCAACAAAAGGGCCATCAGACTGTACAGAACAGGAAGGGGCCACCTATCGGTGGCGGACTTCCAGTCTAGCGAGAAACCCTTTGTAAAACCTACAAACCTGTTGAAAGGTTTGGTACTTTACAGTTATATACCCTTTGACTTTTTTTGTGTAATTGTTTGTTCATTTGAATCAAATTGTACGAGATAATATGATTGAATCTCAATTTTCATTTGGAAATCCTTTTTTATTGAAGAGAGATTCATTTTCGAATTCTTTATTGAATTACTGAAAGTTGAAGGAGAATCTTCTCTCTTTGGGAACAGCCAATAAGAAAGATTTTTCATCCGGTAACTTAGAGTAAAGTAGACTAGAGTATGGTAGTACCTATCTGAGTCGAAGTATATGTCATCGCCAATGAAAACCAGTCTCCCATGCCTTCTGCCTATACCAATAACTTCTTTGGTCTGGAGGTCTTTCACCATACACGAATCCGCTGTCAATTTGACTTCACACTGCTTGCTTATCATCACATAGTTGCCCAACTGATATGATATTTGGACTTTAGGAAAATCTCAGACATCAGAAAGAACTATTGTGCCAGCACATGCATTTTGAATAACTACTTTCCCAAGAGAATTGACAATGGAGAGTTGTCACCCGTATACAAAAAAGTCATATGGAGCAAATGAAACAAAGGCATTGGGATCCCCTGTTATTTGGTTACTTGCTGCTGTATCATAGTACCTTTTCTTAGCATACATTTCATTTTTGATTAGGAACCGGGAAAAGCAAGATGAAAAACAATGTTGAGCTAGCGCCTTGCTTCATTCCAAATTTCATAAAAAAAACATCTTTGATTACGATGAACAAGAAAAAAGAGACCAAGATCCATTTTCGGTTCTTGGTTCACATAATATGCCAGAAGATCTTCGATCCCTGTGCCAGAATACTGAAAAATTCTGTAGGAGAATAGTCCACTTCTTTTTTTGAAGAAAGGGGGTGGGAAAGCTGCTGTCATTCTTTGGAGCCCGGTTCTCTTTATCTTCGAGCTTTCATTAGGGTCAAGGGTCGGTCGAGCCGCGTATCGCCTCTCCTTTCAGTCGAGCGATAGCTCCGCACCTCAATCCACTTCTTTGTTCTTTCATAGACCTCCCCACCAATAGATAGAGACAAATGGGAATAACCGAACCACGTCTACAAAATGCCAGTACCATGCAGCTGCTTCAAAGCCAACGTGATGCTCCTTGGTCAGATGACCAAGATATTGGCGAATACAACATATGATCAAGAAGAGAGTACCTATAATCACATGAAAACCATGAAAGCCAGTTGCTAAGAAAAAGGTAGAACCATAAATACTATCCGAAATAGTGGAGGGTGCTTGGTAATATTCCATTCCTTGAAAGCCAGTGAATACTAGAGCCAGTGAAACGGTAGCTACTAAAGCGTAAACTGCTCGTTTTTCCTTCCCCGCGAGTATAGCATGATGAGCCCAAGTTACGGCAGCTCCGGATGAAGGGAGAATAGGAGTATTAAGAAAAGGGATTTCCCGAGGATCTAAAACCCCAATCCCTTTTGGGGGCCAAATACCTCCGATATCTACCGTAGGTGCCAAAGAAGAATGAGAAGAAGCCCAAAAAAAAGCAAAAAGGAACATAACCTCCGAGACTATGAACAGAATAGAACCGTATCGAGGTCCTAATTGTACAGCTTTTGTATGATGTCCTTCCAACGTGGATTCACGTAGAACATCGCGCCACCATACGAACATGGTATATAGGAGAAAGATTAGGCCCAAACTGAGAAGTGTTGCACCCCCTTGAAATGGGTGCATGTACATCACACCTCCTACGGTGGTTGCCAAAGCTCCGAGTGAACCCGAAATAGGCCATGGACTTGGATCTACCAAATGATAAGAATGCCTAATAGATTCCATCATGAACTACTTTGAACCGGTTGTCTTGAAACTCCCCTTCACCCCACCCCCTCTAGTTTGAAAGAAGGGGCTTGGTCTCATTTGTATCTGACTGGACAAAGCCATAGGAAGGTAGAGTTCTTTGATTTCATTTCTCGAAGTGAGACCCGAAACTTCTTCGCGCCTCCACTCTCCCCCCTTTGGAGAAGAAAGAGATTAGGTGGGTGGTTTACCCAACAACTTTGATGCTATGGGATGGTGAACTTTTTCATTTGTCCCGGCTTTCTTCTGATGTTTTGAAGAAAGAGCCGGGCACGTACGCATGCGTCGGTTCATTCGGGATGCTCTCTACCGTTGGGTTCTGAAACCGAGATGGTCTTTCGCTCTTTGCTCACAGAAGCCTGACTCAATACGAGACGATGGAGCTCCGTTCCAAGCGAATCCTACAGCGATCTATTCATCTCTTCGAAAAAGAAGTGAACACTTTGCTGAGGAGCGAAGGCTGACTCAGCTTAGAGTACTCATACGAGTAGGAAAGATCCTAGGTGCCTACCTTTCGTTCTTCTCCTAGGCAGTCGAATGGGGCGCGAGGTCTCCTACAGCTCTGCCACCTATGCGCGAAACTGAATGTTGATACGCAGGAGTTGTGAACTGTTCAAAACGATTGAACTTGAAGATGCACGCGCGATATGAATCATCCGGAAAAAATGGAATGGAAGAGGTAAAGAAAGCTCGAATGAGGAACGTGCACTATAGCTGGCGTCGACCCACTTTGCGATACGAACGAAAGACCGGAGGGGAATACCAGGGGGTAGAAAGGTTCCAAGAGAGAATTCCTATCAATAGTCAAAGAAAAGTCAATCTACATTACAATTACATACAAAAAAAGAAAAAAATAGGGAAGAGAAGATTCAAGAGGGATCATTCCCGCTCATTGAAGGCTCATCACCTTCCCGCGTATCTGAGTCTGAAGCTGTGCATTCGGCTTTTGATGAAAGGTTCGTACCATGAGGGAGCTGAGTAGGCAGAAATTTCTTATTCAGCCAACCTTACCTCAGTCAAGAGTAACCTTAGCCCACTGACAACGGTGGACTGTGGTTTTCTTGAATGACTACCTGAGTCATGCTTAGGCGCCTTCCTTCCCAGGTGCTCAAGCAGCTCCCTAGCCCTGAGTCCGGGTGAGTTGGGTCAAATCGCTCACTGAACGGCAGATACACAGAATGGCGGAGTACCTTATAAGGTACTCAATATGGTCAGTTGTATTTCAGACATTGCCTTGCTGATCCGACTTTCCGGTGAGTTTGGTTGGAATCAGATTAGGAGGCGCAGTTCAGAAGGGATTGTGTATTTAGTGAGTCCTAGTCGACTGATCACCTATTTAGGTTCTTTTCTCAATCTCAATCTCTATAGAGTAAGGGAGTCATTTTTTTCTATCTTTCAGTCGAGCCGCTCCGCGCCTCTACTCTAGACTGTTACTTACACTCCTGCTGGGTAACTGGTTAATAACTGCTTCTTCAGCATGGGGTGTTAGACCTCCTGAGGTACCGTTCATGACAATCTATCTGACTTCGTTTCGTTCTATTAGTTAGGATCGAAAGTTGGTTGTAATGTGTGTGCACCGGAAAGAGGTTTCCAATATGCTATTCTTCGGTGACCCGATCAGTTACCGAGTGAATATGGTGGATCGAAAGTACTGTTAACCACTTGAGTGGTTTGAGTTGACGTCAAAATGAAATGTCTCTAATTTGAACTCATTTCAGGTTCTCTTTACTTAGTTCCTACCTGAGAGCATACGGTCGCGCCCTCCCATCTCGCCTGGCTCAGAAAGGACGATTAGACGGGCTGTTAGGGGTTGTCACGACTCTAGCGCCTCGTCTAAGTTGCTTAAGGTTCATTTCATCTTGAGTGCTTAGTCGTAGGATGAAGGTGCGTAATACTTTGAGTTCTTTTGGACTGACAGTCTTTGCTCATTCGTTTATATGCTTTTGCATAATATGTTTCTTCTCTTTCCCTAAAGACCCTTTAGAACTCTTCAGTGAATGCTAATTTAGGTGTAGTACTGAAGATTAAGAAGTAACACTTCTTGGTATTACTCTCTCTTTGAGTATCTCACTGAATTGTGAACCATCCTAAAAGGACTTCAATGTCCTCGCGGGCTGGGTGAGTATTTAGGAGGTAATGTCTGAGAGTCAATCCCCTTAAGCAAGGCGTTAGCTCACCAGAACAGAAGATTCAAGAGGCCTGTCACGATCAACATAAAGAAAGATTCATTTGATCTGCTCCGAACAGAACTCTTCATCTTTCAATCTTTCTACCAACAGTTTGACTCTTTCCTTTGGTAACCGTGGCAGGTGAGCGTTGGATAGGCGCAGCAGCTCTTCCCGAATCTCTCGAAGGCGCTCGCCCGTTGCCGTGGCCCTCCTATTTTATCCCAGGTGTCCTGGACAGTAGGCTGTGGGGCAGACCCAAAGATCCCCCCTGACAGAAAGAATGAGACCTGAAATCGGGTGTAACTACGCACGTCTGCGTCCGGGTCGGCTTGGTTTTGGCCCGGATCAGCATCAGCAACGGGAGATGGCGCATGATGAAAGCTTGATGGATTCGGAGGAGGAGGTACAGTTGTTTGTGGCATGGCCTTCATGAGCATTTCAACCTTTGCATTTTTTGAAGCAACTCCACTCTCGCTTTCACTTACGCCAGTGAAACGCTTCGTTTCAACGGAAAAAAAAAGAGAACCTTTCTCATTGACAAAACTCAAACTTGGGCACGTGCGATGCACGTACGAGCTGGAGCAGAGCGGGACATCGGGGGTGTCTTTACCTCCGCCCCTGCGACTATACTACTATAGGTGATGATCAATCTTTGGGTGAAGCCTTTGTTGCCGCTGGTGGTGAAGGAAGGCGGAGAAATGGAATCTGCTTTGATTACTGTAGCATAAGCCTTCGCCACTGCATAACTCCTCTGAACACTTGCTAATATTTGAACATAGAAAGTGGGAACAGTAGGGAAGGGCACAACAAGGAGACTCACTGGGGAATGAGAATGTTGACGATGAAGCTAAGCTGGTCAATCAGTGCCAGAGCAAGGAAAAGTCAAGTGTAGGGTAGGGGGACGAGAAGCCTATAGAGAGAGTCTAGAGTACGTCGCAATAAAGGAAAGCAATAAGACAGTTTGCTCTGACCGCTTGTGCATTGTAGTAACAACTAGAAAGTCGTCCTAGTTCCCACGTGAAACTATAGGTCTAGGGTAGGAGGCTTTTAAATGACTAACACTCGATAGAAACGAAACTGAGACTCTCGGATTCTTCTAGCGCCTTTTGTTCTTGAATAAGAAAACTCTAGCCTTTTGGATGAGAAGGCATGCCTATCCATGAGCTAGGAACCTAACCTCAACGCTAATTGCATACTCGCCTTCCATTCCAAAGAAGGGTGGCCTCGCCTTGGAAGGCTACTACCCAGTTAGAACACTCCCGTAGCGTAGCTCATAGGTAGAAAAAAACTATCCATTCTGAACAAAACAACCTTCATTGAACTCTCCAGACGTAACACTGAGAAAACAGGAAAAAAAAAGCAAAACAAAAAGAAAGAGGACAAGAAAGAAGTGAGAGAATCATCGGTGAAAAGTGAATGTCCAGACGATGTCGGCACAAAGTCAAAACAGATTCTTTGAAACTTATGCGAGAAAGAAAAGAACACCTCGCGTATGCTTTTCAACCTTTATACATATTGATTGAGTTTGGGGCGATATGAAGAAGAAAAAGATTCCGGAAAGACAGAAGATTGTCCCAGATTCATCATAAAAAGAGCACCCATCGTACTGAGAACTAAGATATCATCAGGTTCCGGTTCGACTGAAAATGGACCAAATTGATTTTTTTCACACAAAAGGAGTCGGCGCTTTTCACGGTAAGTTAGAAGCTAATGAATTAGATCATAGGATTGGTTGAGATTAGAAAAACTGAAAGCCACCTATGGGAATGATGTGGTGTTCGGCCCGACAAATGGAAAGGTTCCTAATTTTCAGTGAACCAATCCCCCTCGCTCGATGAAAGTAGCAGATTAAGGGAACTCAGACTCCAAATAAGAAGGAACTGGTCGGGATGGAACTTTTCTAGCTTAGGCCCTGGACCTCTAGAATCATGATTTGAGCTTGAACCCGCTCGAAAGGAAAGCAGAAAGAACTCGATGAAATGCAATTTTTTCTTAGTCTTCTTTTCTATGACTGAATATGACTGAGAACTGACTGAAAAGACTAAAAAACTCGTCCCCCCTAACATTGAAGGCTCACACTCTGTTCAGTGCCTCTCTGGTATTGGGAGAACTTCAGCCCCTCACCCTCAGCTCGCTTGGATCGTATCGTGGGGAGCTTACTTCACTTCGTTTTCTTAAGGAAGTAACTTGACAGGAGAAAAAGCACAGCACCGCCACCTTAAACAAGGGCCGCAGGCAAAAGGGAAATTCACCGTTTGCCCGAGAAGAGAAAGAGAAAAAAACAACTCGGACAAGAAACCAGCACCAAAGAAGCGTATCACGGGAGCGCGAGGACAGAAAAGGGACGCCGGTTGCAAGGGCGAGAACCCGAATGAACGCTAGATAGCATCAAAATTTTGGTCAAATCACAACCTTACCAGAACCAGAGAGGGGCCTCAGAGGAGGCTGAAAAAGGAAAGGTTGCGAAGCAAATATATGTATATTTATGAGAAAAGGATCGGAACGGAAAGAAATTCGTAAATAAGAAAAACGAGTACAGAAGAGAGCGCGGAATCGGCTGAACATCTCGCTTGATAGCGAATTTCATTGTGATGTTCACCGACTATGTCACGACTGTTGTTCGGCGTTCACTCTTCGCTTCGTATCCAAGCTTTCTTGAGCTAGAAAAATATTTTTTCTACGAGATTTCCTGTTGAAATGAAAAGTTCTTTTCTATATGTCTCTTTTTCTATCTATTTGAGAATTAGCAGCCGATGTTGCGAAAAAAACTATGGACTAGAATCTAGTAGATCAGAATTAGCATCTCAAAGAAAAAGCTATTGACCGAACGAACCGGATATTGACATACCAAGTCAAAGAAATTGCGTCTGACAGTCGTCAAAAGTGAAAGTGGCCTTATCGACCACCGATGCTGGAACAAGCTTTGGCTGGGGAGCAGCCCATAAGCCCTATCTCTAGGACCGTGGGTAGCGCACCTATCTGGCTCAGCTAGTAGACCAATCGGAGCTCGGCTGGGGTTGCCGAAACGGATGGATACATAGGTCGGCTCCAACTCACCGCCTGAGTGCGGCATCGGGAAGAAAAGAATGGATTGCAGATAGGCACCCACTCGAACGTCTGAAGGGGCTAGGCTTTTAGGTTTAGGTAGGCATTTCACCGATCTTCCGATGACCTTGAATCAAGCCCTCACTCTACAGGTCAAGCGGACGACTCAACCGAAGAGCAAGCTGGGTCTGACAGTTCCACCAACTACAGATGAAGAGGTAGATGCTCTCAAGGCTCAGAAGTCACGCTAGCTATATGCTTCACACATGGATTCTTCGTTCACTTCCCTTTCTAAATGACAGGCCGCTCTTTCATTGTATGATTTTTTGGTTTGATGAAGACACTCTCTCTTATGTATCTACTTATTGTATTTTTGCCTCTGCTCGGTAGTTCTGTAGCCGGTTTTTTCGGACGTTTTCTAGGATCAGAAGGAACCGCTCTAATAACCACCACGTGCGTTTCATTTTCTTCGATCTTCTCTTTTCTTGCTTTTTATGAAGTCGCACCGGGAGCTAGTGCTTGCTATCTCAGAATAGCTCCATGGATCTCATCGGAAATGTTTGATGCTTCTTGGGGCTTCTTTGGCGACCGTGAAGTCACCGGATGAATTGCCGAGTAGATAGATAAGATCCGGACGCTGCAGTTGCTCCGCGGCGATACGGACTCGACTCGCTCCTACCCAGTCAAAAAAAAAGCATGTCGGGAATCGAGGGGGGACATACTGGACGTCACAACTCCCGTCGGTTGGGGGCTGTGCCGCCCTGCCTTTCTATTGATACACAGTTGAGGAGGCCGATCACGAACGCTACAGGTGTGGGAGCGATCCTGGTCAGGGAAGGCTAAGACGGCGCCTTGCATATGGGTAGCAAGAGGGCGCTTATGCCCCGACGGTGGGGCCTTATGGGGAAGGGCCCAGCCCAATATGGACAGCACACCCCCCACTTGAAGCGCACCTCTGTATCGACTTTTTCACTCTATCTAAGGGTTACGTCGGTGGAACCGGTGAACCACGCGAGCTGGTTAGATGCGTGGGGCAGAGGGCTCGTAGTACCCCCCTTTTTTTTCTTCAAGAAAAAACTCTTGCTTCTTAGGGAAGGGAAGAAGAGGCCTAAGCACGGCAGATGCCGTACACTTGAGTGGCAAAGGATCGCTTCTGTGAGGCTCGACTCAACCTCGGAACGAAGTAGCTCGACCGACTCTTGACCCCCTCGGAAAGCGAGACCGTACCTGTTTTTCAGGCCCGTTCGGACATACGGTTCCCGCGGAAGATCAAGTTGGTGAGCCGTGTGATGGGAAACCTTCCCGCACGGTTCGGAGAGCACTGAAGACGAATGAGAGGTTCACCACCACATCATTGCAAGGGGAGCTCGCTCGATTCGCAGATTGGTCCGACTCGTAATTCACTTCTGACCCCGTGTTCGATAGCCCGACCGTAGTGATGTTAATTGTGGTTACATCCATAAGTAGCTTGGTCCATCTTTATTCCATTTCATATATGTCCGAGGATCCGCATAGCCCTCGATTTATGTGTTATTTATCCATTCCTACTTTTTTTATGCCAATGTTGGTGACTGGAGATAACTCTATTCAATTATTCCTGGGATGGGAGGGAGTAGGTCTTGCTTCATATTTGTTAATTCATTTCTGGTTCACACGACTTCAGGCAGATAAAGCAGCTACAAAAGCTATGCC